ATGACACTTTTGCTTCTTATACACCCTGGTGCTTATTTTTTCCTGATTTTTTTTTTTTTTCCTGCTAATCCAAGTAATCTTCCAATATTGGTTTTTTGTTTCCATTTTTTTTTTTTAATTCACAAACTCTTCTATTCTATCCAATCATTCATCATACTGGTGTGAGAATTAAGAACATAACTATGAAATTACCAACATACCAGCATAAATTCATTTCAAAAATGAACGTTTTTTACCGTCTTCAACGGTCATCATCAGGTTCGAATCCAAGATTTCAAAAAATCGAACATTGCAGTTATGCGCATGTCCGATGCAGGACCTTAATAAAATTATTCATGTAATTGGTTTCCTGCTTCAAAAATCCGTGTTTATATTATAGTGTAGACATATATGGTGTGCATCCATTATACGTCATAATACGCACTATATATGTCTACACTATAATATAAACATCGGATTTTTGAAGCAGGAAACCAATTACATGAATAATTTTATTAAGGCCCTGCATCGGACATGCGCATAACTGCAATGTTCGATTTTTTGAAATCTTGGATTCGAACCTGATGATGACCATTGAAGACGGTAGAAAATGTTCGTTTTTTAAATGAATTTATGCTGGTATGTTGGTAATTTCGTAGTTATGTTCTTCTATTCTATCTCTTATTCAACATACCTATTTACGTAAATATCATTAAACTCTTTTATAGGAATCAAAATTTTCTTAAAATATGAAATAAGATAGCTTGATTATAATATCTAAAATCTTACTCATAATTGCCTCTTCTTCCTCAATGTCCATTCCCTATTTAAATCTTAGCTAATTTAATGTAATTTTTATGGCCTCTTCCTGTATCACAGGTGGATAAGTTTCTGTAATCTAAAATTGTTAATCTCCTATCTCTGCTGTATATAACTTCAAATTATCAACAACCTGCAATCTGCACAACCTACTCACAACTATCTGAAATATTGCATTGTACAGTACATCCTCTTCCAGTAACTTGTATGATCTCTCAAAATTTATTGGCAATGTCCATCTGCTTTCAGAGACTGATCTAATTGACCATCCTATCCTAGGTATTTCACAAATTTCAAATGATCATGGAGCAATAGCTTTCTGTGGGATGCTGACTTGCAACCAACTAGGACCATGGTTCCCAATTAGTGGTACGTGTACCCCTGGAGATAAGCGAAATTGCACGAAGGGGTGCGCTCGACAATCTAAAATCGGTCAATTTAAAATTTAAATGCATGAGATGAAGCAATCAAAAAATAATGGATGGACCATCAAAAATTCGACAATTTACAACATGATGTCGAATGCACAAATTTGTTTATTTATAACTAAAAATAGTCTCGAAATTTCAAAGAATGCATTTGTGACAATACCTAAATGAAATTCTAATGCAAGAAACAAAAATTGTACAATTAACACAATTTGTGTTAATTGTACAGTTATCATTATTATCGTATCAGCGAAGCGGCAATAAAATATTTACTACCATTTTGCACAATATACCTCTGCAAGAGCGGATTTTCGGCCGTGACAAACACGAAAACTAAACATCGTCACCAACTTTGACTCAAAGCTGACTTGAGACCTGAAGTTGACCAAAAAGCAACCAGATTTTACAAAGTTGTGCAAAGAAAATCGTGCACATTTGTCACAGTAAAATTAAATAACCTTATGTTATTTTCATTATTATTAGAATTGTATTTTAAAGGTAATAAATGTAAAAAAAAACTTATTCTGTTTATCACTAGCTGTCTACCCACGGCTTCGCCCGCATTATATCGAATTTTCTCATGGGAATAAGATATTTTCTTGCAATGAAATGTAGCCCATGTCCATCTCCAACATGTAAGCTATCTCTGTGCCAAATTTTATTAAAACCTGTTCGGCAGTTTAGATGTGAAAAGGTAGACAGACAGACACACAGAATTACCTTCGAATTTATATTAGTATGGATTAATATGAATTTCTGCTATAAGGGGTACGTGAGTTTGAGCTCTTTGTTGAAGTGGTACGCAGGAAAAACTAAATGGGAATCACTGAACTAGGACAACCCTTTTGGTATGTAATTCTCCTAATCTCTTTAACATGGTATGTAGGATCTTATTGCATCGCTTCACACCTTGACTGTCTTATTTGTTCTTCCAGCCCTTCTTAACTAAACTACTGCTATCTAACACAATCAAGATCATGGATTTGTCATTTCTAGAGACTAAAATATGATAATTCTTAAAAATGAAACAAAGTAAAAGTAAATGCAATTAACAATAAATAACGAAAATATGTGAAGAACCAATTAACAAGAGTACAAAATGAATAAAATTATAAAAACTCATGGTAGACATCTTGGCCACATATCAGTGTTTAAGATTATTAAGATCTTTCTTATAGAAATCTTGCTTCTACATATTGCACTGCGCCATTCACTTTTTCCTTTGAACAATCACTGAACTTTCCTCATCTATCTTGCATCATCTTGAATAGACTAGCTGAAAAAAACTAAAGATATTATTTTGCTATACAGCATCGTTCATTTTAATCAATATATTAGAATAACTCGAAAAATACACATCCAACAAAAAATCGATTAAACCAAACATTTCAAGATGGTGCTACAATCAATAAAATGGGAACAACTTTATTTTCTTAAATGAATACAGTAGAAACGGGTTCATATAATGCGGATTCATATATAGCAGCAAAAAAGTTGCGATTGTATTCATATAAAGACGCTAAAAGAAATTGACTACTCATCTTTACCACAACACCGGAGAATAGTAATATAATTACCTCTTTCTAACCTGTTACCGGTGTGTCTACTAACTCTTAACGATCCAAAACGAATCAAAACTAACGTTTTCGAACCCTTAACCGGTTCTTCTTCAGGTTTTTTTTCGAATCTCTGATGGAAAATGCAGCTCGTAAAAACTTTAAATTCGAAATATGTGAGTTCGAATGCACGTTACAACGACGGAAACGGGAAACGTGCATTCGAACTTACATATTTCGAATTTAAAGTTTTTACGAGCTGCATTTTCCATCAGAGATTCGAAAAAAAAAACCTGAAGAAGAACCGGTTAAGGGTTCGAAAACGTTAGTTTTGATTCGTTTTGGATCGTTAAGAGTTAGTAGACACACCGGTAACAGGTTAGAAAGAGGTAATTATATTACGCTAAAAGAAACTCGTAAAATGCAGTAAAATGTCATCACCGACTCGTGTTGCGACAGGATTGGTCAAATCTGGAGCATTCAAACTACTTACACGTTACGGAGAGTTTAGGCGGGTAAGTTGAGTTTACTATCGTCTGTATAGTATATAAATTAGATACTGTAAGTCTAATACAGTACTGTAATTTTATACAGTACATTTCTTGTGAAAAAAACATTTCTTATTCAACGGCCATAAAAATTATTTCTATTAATGATGTTTGGATACATCATTAATAGAAATAATTTTTTAAAGTTCAAAGCTCCAAAGTTCAGCGAATTTTTCTCAGAAAAATAACTTATCAGAAAACGCGCCCACCGTTCGATGCGCCGCTCCACAACAAAAACAAGCTTAAACAATGGCGTCGTCGAACGGTGCACACTCGGTAAGTAATCCTACAATTTTTTATCATAGTTTATACGGATTGTTCCTAAAAAAATTATATGTGTTTTGGAAATGTTGAGTCAAATTAGTCTGGAATCAATTAATTCTATGGAAGAAAACCATTCAAACAGCTGTAGTCCCTAAACTGCATATGTGCCGGGCTGTGATTGGCTCATGTATTTAAGGACTCGTAGAACATGAATTTCATAAAAAGCAGAACGTATCTACTGCGTTATTGGGGGATCGACTGTACTTTGTTTTTTATTGCATATCATGATTTTACAAACTTTTTATCTGAACCCATTTTTATTCTAGGGCAATGTATGATGAAACATAGTTCCATTTTATAGCCTCTTGTGATCTAACATTTTTGATTTATGAACTTTTTGCAGGATGAGTATTGCTTATTTATTCATTTTTGAGTTGGAATAATTAAAATGAGTTATCCTGTATATCGTGATTCACATGCATGTGTACATGATGTCAGATATATATACAGTCGATCCCCTTATAAGACGGTAGATATGTTCTGTTCTTTATGAATAAATTTTGTAGGAATCACAGCCCGACACGTGTGAAGTTTATGAACTACGGCTGTTTGAAAGGTTTTCTTCCATAAAATTAATCGATTTTAGACTAATCAGACTCAACATTTCCAAAATACGTATATTTTTTTTGGAAATAATCCGTATAAACTAAGCTATAAACAAAAAATTGTAGGATTACTTAGTGTGCACTGTTCGACATCGCCGTTGCTCAAGCTTGTTTTTGTTGCGGAACAGCGCAGCAAACTGTGGCCGCGATTTCTGATATTATTTTTCTGCGAAAACTTCGTTGAACTTTGGAGACATCATTAATATAAATAATTTTAATCATTGTTGAATAAGAAATGTTTCTTTCACAAGAAATGTATAAAATTACAGTACTGTATTAGGCTTATGGTACCTAATTTACATACTGTACAGACGATAGCTCGCCTAAACTCTCCGTAGCGTGGCGCTAGAATTATAATAAAGTTAAATAAATTAAGTTAATATATAATTATATATACAGTACCTAATTTATATATAATTATATGTACAGATGATACTAAACTCAATTTACCCTCCTAAACTGTCCGTAGCGTGGCGCTGGACGGTGGAAAGTAGTTCAGCTGCCCGATGATGTTTTACATAATTATAGGAGTGTTTTTACCATTGTTTACGGATACCGCCACAATTTTTTCATCGTCTTATAGGAATCATAATTATAGGAACCCGTCTTATAGGGGGATCTACTGTACTACATATAATGCATTATTGACTTTCAGTTTTAGCATTTTGTTATTTAAAATTTTTTCATTTATATATATTTTACATACATTTTGAAACTAATTTTATTAATTGCTAATTTCAGCCACAAAAATATTGCCACCTTCAAAATCTAAAAATGATTTTCGGTGTGAAATTTGTGAAAATGTAATGACTTACTTAGAAGACAGATTGAAAGATAAAACAACAGAGGTGAGTATTTAACAATTACTTAAACAAATTTGCAACTCTGCTAATATTGAGTCCAACACAAAATTTGTAAAAATAATAAGACAAAATAAATATATTGTTATAGTAAAATGTGTTTTACCAAAAATAACAATGTGCTGATTAATAACTTCATTGTACAACAAAGAATAATAATATTTGAAAACAGACCTTACTTTGTAAAAATCCCAAATTAACTGATCATATGAGAAAAAAGTTAATTAATTTTGATTTTTACAAAGATTTCTGTATTTTTTAATTGGGAGATTATAATTGCATCGGTTGCCAAACAAGCTACTTGGCAAGAGCCGACCACAGATTAGAGACACGGACGGTTGACTCCCCCTATTTCCTATGTTAAAGAAAGTCGATGGCTCGACCGATTGACGGGACTACCTATTTGGACGTTAGCGGCACCCGAGATTGCCCGGCATCGTTAGATGTCACATCACGAATCATCGACAACATTGCTATTTAACTTAGATTTTATTGCGCATGCAGAAAAGATACTAATTCTGTTTTTTGGTACACACTGCAGTCAAATTTAAACGAATTAATAAAAACCACACTAATGTTAATATAAATGGCATTCAAGAATTTATGTTAAATGGTGCTTAAATAAAATTAAATAACAAAAATTTATTATTAAATATAATTTTTTTATTATTTCTAATTAGTACACAATTGCCATTCGGCATTATATTTAACAGTATTAATTACATGCAAGAACTTTTAATGAACATCATTTAGAAAGGTAATGAATACAATTAAAAAATAAAGCTTTATTTTGGGAAAAGTTTCTTATGGGAAAATTTGTTTTGGTTTCAGAACTTTTAGGAATGAATTATGTATGAAAACATATGTTTGACTAACAAAATTTTTCTCTGGATTTGTGCAATTAGATTATATTATGATTTAATTTTATACTACAGGTAACATTAGTTTCAAAATGAGCATTATTATTGCAATAACAAGCCATTTTTTATGGTAAAGGTAGCGTAGAAGACTATAATTTCTAGTTGCTTCAAACTGTGCTTTTGTTCACAATAGAATTAGTTTCATCACTTTTATATTTGTATAACATGAAATATTTTATTTATATTTATAAACTTTTTTCTTTCTTTAGCTACTTGCACTATTTCAGCACAAATCAAACTACTGGTGTAAGATGAAATATCATAATGCTGCAATTTCATGCAAAATAAATAACTGAAACTGTACTGTTAATGTTTGTTCATTGCATTTGATAAGTCAATAACATCAGATGATGATGATCTGCAATGAGAATGAAAACTTTTATTCTAATAAAATTTTTGGTTTCCAAAATTAAGCTGTTTTAGTATATAGTCTGATTCAATAAAGGTTAAATTTTCATCATAATTTTTTAATTTGTAATGCTTGAAATTTATTATTATGAATTTGATTTTTAATTTGTAATATTCTGGAATTTGTTTAACTGTAAAATGAAATTATTCAATATAATAATTAGATGATGATGATGATCTGTGTATAGTAACAGCATTCGGCTACTTTGTATGATGTTTTCACAAAATAATTGTTATTTCATACATAGTTTTGTATAAAAGATAAGATATTTCACTCTCTTTTTTGCAGCCTTGCAAATGTCCAAGAAATATTTTACCCCATGTCCATGCCAGCATGTTGGACATGATAATCACAAAGGTTCCAGTTATTCTCTTGTGGATGTTCAAGATGGCAGATCGTCTTTGTATGCACTGTATTCTTTTGTCCCGCAAGTAAAGTTAAGCAGTATTTTGTCTAGATTTCAGTGTGGTGGTGCAATTAGACTACTACTTCTAATCCATGTATTAGGGAGTCTGTAATATAAAGCTATATGAACACAGTTACTGAAATGGGACAGGGCGCCATCTTGTGGACGAGAGCTTTCCAATTTCTACTTCGATACTGTATAGCAGTAGAAATTCCCTGGGGAGAAAATGGTCCCAAAACATGGTCTTGCATCAGTCTACACCTTCTACAGTTATGACAATTAACTGAACCACAAGTGTGAAACATTGTCTTATCAGTAAAAATGAAAGTTTCTAGGAAATTTTTCATTCTTTTCATGCTTTTGTGACATTCAAGTTACAAACTAATTGTTTGGTCTGGTCTGTCATTGTCTTTGGTTTTATGTAACATTTGAATCTTTTATATGCCATGTAACGAAAGCTGTTCGTATATCATAATCTTATTTCGTTCAATAGTACATATCTATTAACAGGACTTGTTAAACTGGCTTTAAGGATACTGCAACTCAGTTTCATAGATTAGAAAATTGTTTTATTTAATTTACCTGGACACATACATGTTAATATTGCATTTCGGACCTGTTTGTTTCTCATCAGCGGGTATTTATATCAATATGACACATTCTACATAAACATTAAAAACAATGAAAATTTTTTATACAAAATTTAAATTTCCTGACAATAATTTTAAAATTTACCAACAATAATATAAAACTCTTACAATTTCAGGGTTATTTCTTTCTATTCCAATTTCCACCAAGCAATTAAATTTAAACATTATTAACAGTAACTTTTTAAACAAATTCCTATATCTATACTACTATATAAAGAGACAACGTATTTTTCGTTTGTGACCACTAACCATGAAAACTACTGAACTAATCGTTACCAAATTTTAACTGTAGCATCTTTATGACCCCCGGAATGTTTACCACTAATCAAACCTGCAGAATTTTTGTTAAACATTCATATAAATTAAAAGATATCATCTAGGGTTAAGGCTTTTATGAATCAACTGTTAAAGATGGTTCTGCTTCAACTAGTGCAGAGTGTGAGGTCAGCCGATTAGGGTGAGGTTTTTCGACAGCCGAGCGGTTCCTTCTGTAGTGTGGGCGCACAATGACTTTGAGACAGGTTTACCATCTTTAACCCATTTATTATATTACAAAAGGTTCTTACAACGTTCTTCAAATTTTCCACGTGACACAGCTCGAGGAGCAAAGTAAAAGTTTCTTCAAGGAATCAAGGGTCCGACATTCTGTCCGAAATCCTCCGTTTTGGTCCCTCGATGTCGTACGTTGAGATCGACGGCCCCGGGGCGTGCGGCACAGCTTCGGCGAAAGTCTCTGGTGAAAGGCAAATCTGTGCAAATCAAGACGGCACGGGAGAGCGACAGTAAGTCCCAGGAGTTGACGAATCTGTCGCTGTTGATAAGTAGTAGGATCACAAAAATCCTGGAGAGGAGCACCAAGAACCAAGAACCTTTGTCCCTGGAGTCGCACGGTTTTATAGATTTCTTAACTGTCGTCGCCTCTCCATTGGTCTCTCATAGTCACCTGGTGACAATTCGAAACCTAATGAAGGGCGCGGAAGAGGTCAACGTTGCGACTGAATATGATTCCTCTCTCTTGTCGCGTTTTCTTCGAATTTATCCGTTTCTATTGTGTAACAAATTTACGAAAAAAAAACAATTGCATTGTTCGATCAAGACACCTAATCCATTTCCTTAGTGCCTGAAAAGGAGCTCTATTTTAAATCGCTTCATTTCTCCCCATAAACCTTACTGGCATGGGTGTCCCTACCAGGAGCTTGTGCTCCAGCCTGCATACCCCTATGGATCTGTAAAACTACTGGGCTCTCCCACCACGACCAGGTGGTGACCACGGGAGAGTTATTATTATTATTATTATTAACAAAGTAAAATTTTTCTTATGACTATCACTTTTCCTATGGATGGGGATTAAATGCACCTATGGTATCCCTTCCTATTGTAAGAAATGACTAACAGGGTTAGCAATGGGCCAACAACCAATTCTGTAAAAAACTCATTCATAAGAGATCATTAGAGTTATCTGAAAGCAGTGGCGGTCTTAGGGGGTGGCAAGCAGGGCAATCGCCCGGGACCTCGCTCTTGGAGGGGCCTCGCGCAACAACCAAGTAGAAAAAAGTTGATAATTAAAACTTTTTATTTTATCCTTAGCTATCAGTTATAACAATAAAATAAATTTANTTCCAATTCTGAACAGTATTATATGAATGAGATCCAATTTAACTCTTCAGTGTAAAAAGTATCACATTAGACTGGCATTTTTAACAGCAAAACAAGATTTTTCTCAAGGTCATAAAATACACACCAACTTATGGACTGACCTGATAGAATGTGTGGAGTTTGCATCACAATTGTTATGTTGAAAGTGCAAGTTAACAATCTGCAAAACAGGAAAGCTCCTGAAGCATGTCAACCAGAAGCTATACTATATACATCAATATACAAACTAATTTGAAGAATTACTGTTGAAAGCTCTAGTCCTTTTAAACATTTAGTTTGTGAGATGTTTATCTTATTCAAGAAACTAATAATCTTCTGTCACACAGTCAGGTTATTCCTTTGCTTTGGTGTATGATTTTTATTTCTGATCTTTCGTTTTGTACTATGGGGCAGTCTAAAAGATAATGCTCACTGCCATTAGTTTTACTGCATATTGTGCATTTATCATTGCCAGAAATCTGGAAGCAGTGAAGATATGAAAACACCTGTGGTCTGTAAGAAATTGAGTCAGGTGGAAATCTGGTTTAAACCATTGTTTTGTTAACTTTTTATTTTGTCTACAAGTTCCACTGTGTTGGCCATTCAGTTATGTGGTTTTTCAGTGTAACATATCCAGTTGCAATCAATTTCATTTTGTATGTTATAGATAGGTCCTGGTTTAATGCAGCAATTTTAGCCAGTTTGTTAGCTCTGTCTCTTGCAGTATGACTGACCTCTTATCCAGTTTAGTGAGCATCCATTATTAGAATTTTGTAGGTATACATTTATTTCATTTGTGGTAGGGTGAGTCTCATTGTTTAATATCGTTGAAATGGCCTTTTGACTGTTTGAGAATATGTTGATGTTATTGCAAGAGAAATTCATTTTGCAGTCTATGACTGTATTAGCAATGGCAATGATTTCTGTCTGAGTAATACCACAGCTGTTATCTAGTTTGATAATCTTGGTTTGAATTTCTTTATTTTCAAGGTACATCACATAACTGGCCCCGACCTTTTGATTTATCTTAGACCCATCCATGAAGACCTTGATTCTTTCGCTGCTTATGAGAAATTCTGAAAAGTATTTTTTGTTCCCAGGATTTGGAATGTAGGAAAAGGAGACTTGTAGTTCATAATCATTCTTCTTATACTCTTCTGTTTCCAATATACTATATTTACTTGCAAATAAGGTGAGGTTTTTATTCATTTCTCACAACTTCAAATTCCTAGGTTGTCCTATATGTGCGGGCAAAAGATTTTTTGCATTTTTGCAAATAATTTTTGTGAACCGTGTATTTGCATTTTTTTACCGGATGCTTACCCTCTTGTATTTAAAAAAAGTATTTTATTTGGGTTGTTTGAATCATTCTTGTGTATTGTTGGGAGAAAGATGAATAGCAATAGGAAAAGCAAAGCTTTTGAATTGAATTCAAGATTGAAATTCCAAAATCACACAGGAGCATGATATATTTTCATTTTATACAGAGATTAGGAGGCTGTCTATTTATGAATTGGACTTAGCCTCATAGAATAAAGAAGTGATGAAGTAGAGGACTTAGTTGTTGAAGATGAAGATGCTGAGAGTATTTTAGAAGATAGTAGATAGTAGAGGCGGAAAGAATAAAAAGTAAGATAGGTTAAGAAGAAGGTGGGTTGGCCTCAGAGCAACCGCATCGCTAATGTTAGTTAAATACGTAGTAAGTCACAATGTCAACAACGCAGTGTTGAAAGCAATAAAATCCCGACAGTTCGTTTACCAGGGAGATGAGGCTGCAAATGGCTGCTATATACAGAAATATTGTTAAACCATATATGCTTGGTAACAACAAGAGTCCGGAGAGACAATGATAGGGCGGACTTTAAAAGGGGTTATTATAGGTTGTCTATAACCTAGTCCGGTACATAACAAGGAAGATCGTGGTTACATAAATGTAGACACTGTAGACCAGTGTTTTTCAGCCTTTTTCATTGAGTGGCACCCCTGATTGAAAAATAAAAAATCGTGACACCCTTGACCAGCGGCGGATCTCAATATGGGGGCTAATGGTCTAGATAAATTTTTTGTGAAACGCTGGGGTGGGGTCCGGGAAGGGAGTCCCCTCCCCGGAAAGAAAACTTTTAAAAATTGACAATTTGAAGTANTATTTTAGATGCGGTTTTTTGCGTTTTTGATTGCGTTTTAATAGGGTACGCCGAGAGAATGTACACTAAGAAGAAATTTTTCGAAAAATTTCCCCCCACACGGGGGAAGTGTTATACATTTATAATAGATACATTTTGAGCCACAACAACGCGTGGCGGGGTCTGCTAGTTAAAACATAAATTATTAGGTTAAACATTAACTTTATCACGTTTTTTACATTTAAACTCTATTCCAAAACTTGCATCTCCAATTGTTCTCCTTGACTTACCCTTCATCTCAACCTGTTTTGATCGTTCTCTTTATGCGTCACAGATAAGATGGTCAGTCCTTTGATGTAGTCTCCATCCTCATGGCCACTCTGCTGCCAAACCTCTGGGAGACAGCAAACACTATCAGCAGTGTCATTTTTAATAGTATCTGAAGAGACATCCTAAGGCAGAAGTGATGCCATCAATGTCTTGGAAGTATATGCCTCTAAAAATACTTTCACTTTTGGGAAAAGGTGTCACATAGACTCATATCATGTATGGTGGAAGTTCTAATACCTCCCACTGCCCTCTTAGCAATGTCCTCACTTATGACAAAGAATGGCTGCATGAATTTTTGTGCAAACAATTGGATGAAATTTCAACAGCTGTAATCTTTTGCAATGAATTGCTGGATGAAAGTGACATTCAAAGAAATGACACTATAGTAGAGCATCGATTATCCGAAACAATTCGGGACTGGGGTTATTCGGATAACTGATCATGCAGGAAAAAATATATTAACCAATCTCATATTGAAATTTTTCTCTACTGCATGTCGCTTCACATTGAATTTTTGTCTACATTAAGCCTAACAAAAATTCTTTTTAGAATAATAATTGTGGCTATTGTATCATTAAAAATTATTTCTTTATTTTGCACAAACAAAATAAATATATTGAAAAAATATAAAAACAAAAAAAAATTATATTTTGGAAGTTAATCTGGTATCAAAAACGTTCCAATTCAGCACAACACACGTCCCGACACACAGTCCTCAGAAAAACACCACACAAAACAAACAAAACTCACCACTCACAATGGGGGGGAAAAGCCTTGTTCAAATATTGGTGAGTTTTTAAGTACCCTCTCATAGTTGCACCAGTGCTGCCAGTTAAAACATGCACACCAACAATAATATTGGAGTAGCCCAAGACACAGCGAAATATTGCAGTGCCATAGCACTAGCGGAAATTTGCCGACTGGAACACTATCAGTTAACAATGTTTCGATTGATCGGTATTCGGATAATAGATGCTCTACTGTAGTGTCTAGCTATATTGTGTACCTGTGGTACACAATATAGCTATAATGTAGACTAGAGACAATATAGACAAGAAGATTCCTTGAAAGTCATATTCATTGATTGTTAATTCCTAACCTTACCCAATTCTTGCTGTAGTTTCTTTGGGTATTGGCTTGTTCAATTGACATTTCAGCTCAGATTTGTAAGATCAGACCTGTGTTTCATTAATTGCAGTAATCAGATGAAAAGATTCTCATTCATGCTTGTAATGCTCTACAGAAATTCAAGGAGTTTCCATTCATTGCCATTTATGTGCATTGTTCAGAGTGTAAGACATCCATCTGCAGCAATTTTGCACAGTTTGTTGGCTTTGAGATATGATAAACACTAGAAGCTGCAATGCTTACTTTGGCACTCATTTCCTGGCAAGTCCATCAATGATTATTCTTCATTAATCTAAAACTGTTTCCACATGTTTGTCTGCTGCACTGATTGGAATGTTGCCACTATATATAATCTGTATTCTCTCATCTTCCACTTTCCACTTTATATTATTCTTTATTTATAGAAGCCTTGGCACCGCTAGGCATCACCGAGGTGAAGTACATAAATTAGTAACATTATTCACATTGGTTGTAATTTATACATAGTTTTATACGTAGAATAATTCCAAGTTATTAGAGTTAACAAGTAAATTTGGTATTTACATAGATTATCGATCGACAATTCTTTTGATCAATTATTAAAACCATACATATAATGAACAGTTAACAAAATTGCAATTGAAGAATTATCTAACTTACAAATATGCCAGGTACAGTAGCCAATCGAAAACTTGGCACCTACACAAAGACATGCTTCATGTTTACAACTGGTAAAGATGAACAGTGTTGTCTGGAGGACAGCTGTTTTGTAGTACACTTTATCTTACCATAGTCCTTTTGAAATACATATTGACAAGTTCTTTAAATACTTGAGACAGTTTTTTATCATTTATTAGAACATCCAAGTTGCAAGGCCAGGAAATGTCCGTAGGCAGGGAAACAATGATGTTCTGGCACATGTCATCTAACATGGGACACTGTAGTAAGTAGTGTTTGACACCATCTGGAATGCCGCAAATTTCAGTTTTCTTCTGATGACTTGTTGAACCTGTGGAGATAGCTCTGGAATCTACCGTGCCCCGTATAGAATTGGGTAATATTATGTCCAATGTCATGACTGATGGAAATTGAAACTATGGAAAAAAAGTCCCTCATTATGCTACTATTGTGAACATTCTATTTGGGCTGCCAAATGGTCAGTGCATTTTCTTTCAGTCGCTGGATTATATAGCTGTGAGGTATTGCTGTGTAACTTGGATTGCAGTTAGCAGTTGAAGCACAGCGAGCCTGCTCGTTCATTCCCGCAGACACCGGTATGACCTCTTACCCAAATGATTGCAAAACTGTTATAATTTTTAGATATATCTTGCAAGATTTGGTTAACGATGGGGTGGCGCCAATTGTAGTTACAGATCGATTGTACTGACGAACTAGAGTCTGTGAAGAGATTAATATTAACTCCTTTGTAGTTGTCGTTACACCACCTTAGAGCAGAGAGAATAGGCCAAAGTTCTGCCTGATATACAGAGAAGTTGCCTAGCTTGTCTGAGGAGTTATGGACTTCATTATTATCATTATAGGCAACGAAGGCACAGCCTACCTCTTCTTCCTGCCTCGAGCCATCCGTGAAAATAGTAAGAGTTTGGTCTGGCCAAGGATTGGTTGCAATAAAGGGCCAGTCTTGTGGTGCCAGGCCATGTTTACAGTGAAGATTTTGTTCAATGTTTTCAAAAACCTTGTTATTAATATTTATATCAATGCCTTGTCTCATTCTCCATCTTTGTGAAGCTAATTCAATATCCTGCACAGTTGGCAATTTTCCCGCGATAACCTGCATGGTTGCTGTTGAAGTGGTAGAGTAAGCTCTGCATGTTCTAAGTAATGCTCTTTGTTGGGTGTTTTGAAGTTTTCTGTCTATGTGGACCTGACCCAGGCCCTTGGCCCAAACTGGGGCCGCATAGAAAATCATAGGCAAAAATACAGACTCATAAAATCATGCTCATGATTTGGGGACTCAGACCCCATTTCGTCTTTGCCACCTTTCACATTGCATTGAAGAGCAGGTTAGTTTTATTGCAGATATTCTTCACATGGAGGAGCCAACTTAGCTTGTAGTGTAGAGTAATACCTAAGTATTTCAGAGTTTGTACCACTCTAACACTGATACATCCCATTTTTATTGTTGGGACTTCTGTACAAGTGTAGTGCTTTGGGCCTAGTAAAAATAATCCCTTTGGTCTTATTCGGGTTGAATTCTAACTTATTCCTTTTACCCCATTGCAGGATTTTCTCAAGCACATCATTGGCCTTCTTTTCCAGTTCAGCCCGGGAGAAAGCCATCACCAACACCATGGCATCATCCGCGTAGGCCACTGTCCAGTCACTTCCGATGTTTTCACTTAGAAAGCCATTGAATAGTAGATTCCAAAGAAACGGTCCCAGTATGGAGCCCTGAGGGCACCCACAAGTTATTTGCCATGTATAAGGCTTTGAGCCCACTTGTAATGTAGCAGAACGTTCTTGCAGGTAGTCTCTTATGATATTAAAGATGTAGGCTGGGCACTGGCTTTGCCTGAGTCTCAACAGCACCATTGGCCACCAGGCTGAGTTGAATGCACCTGCTATATCAAGGCTAAGACCCAGTATATATGGGTAATTAGTTTGCAGCTCCTTGATTTTGTTTGTCACAGAGAGAATGGCATCAGAAGTGCAGGCACCAGACCGAAAGCCAAACTGTTGATTGTGTAAATAATCATTTTCTCTAAGTACCAGATAATCCTATTCGTAATTAATCTTCCCAAAACTTTGCCCAATATAGGTAGCAAAGAAATGTTCCTGTAGTCTCCGGGTGATTTAATTGGTGTGTCTTTAGCCTTTGGGATCAGAACAATTCTAGCCTTTTTTTATCTAGAAGGAAATAAATTGTATCTGAGACAGTAGCTGTATAAAATTAAAAGAATACTAATCTGCAGCAAAAGGTTTCAACTCATTGGCAACAGATGTGATAGTGCAGCAGCATGCATCCTCATATGTCTGAAATCTTTGTTACTGCCGTGCATTTTGATCACATGCAATTTGAATTTTGACAAATATCATTGTTCTTGGGGAGTATACATTACTTAGGGCAGTGAAATAATTGTTATTATTTAATTATTTAGTTTTGGAGCAAGAAAACTTGTTAAATGCTTTTATTTGTTAGAATTACAATTTTCATATCTTTAAATTAAAGAATTATTACAGCTTGTTATCTCGTGATAAAATACAAATTATTATTAATTCAATGGGATAAANGAGGGCTTCAAATATATAAAGGGAAAAGAAGAAAACAGCTTCCTAGGAATTGATATAGTTGAATGTCACAGATCGACACGAGATACTCGTATAATTCGTGAATATAGTCTTCCAATTGTTAAACTAGGGGTGGGGGGATCTGCACCGATCTTTCAATTAATTTTCTATTGGAATACTCTGTGCAACAATTTACGTAACATTTCAAGTTATGAAATCTTCAAAAAGAATGTAAAAAAAAGGAAATAACTTTAAGCCACAGCGATATTTGTTCTCAATTAATTTTTGGAGTTAAGGTAGAAAGTAATTTTCTTTCTGAGCTCGCGTCCTGTTTTTGTTTTTTTTTTTTTGTTCTTGTTGTTGGTTTTGTTGATTTTTGCTTTAAGATGCTTGTAAAAGGCCAACCTGGCCACAGTGTCTTTTTGAGAAATAAGTGAAATCTAACATTTAAGTTATTAGCAATATTACTAGATAAAAACAATAGAAAAAGAATTAGAAAGTTCGTGAAAATACAATAAGGAACTAATTGAGATATTGCTTTGACGCCCATTGACAAGATAACTCGTCAAGGTTACATAGCGTTACGTAAAATTCGGTAGTTAAGGCCACTTTTGACAAAACTTTTTTCCAATTTTTGGAATGTTTTTTAGGGCCTCAAATTTTTTCAAAATTTTTTGTCCGCGCGAAAAAATTTTATCGCGATTTTAATGAGCCTTTGATAAGGCTCGATTAAGGCTTAATTGTTTTTTTAATGGGAGTTTTTTATCAAATTTATTTTATGGTTCCTAAGTTGTAGCGCACGGATTTGACTTCCGTAAAGTTATTTAAAGTTGCTTTCTAATGTCAAAAATTACTTCGAAAAGTTTTTAAATTTTTTTAATTAATCGATTTTTTAATATATTAATTTAATTAATTAGGGGGGTCGGAAATCGCAATTAAAATCTTAATTTTTTAAAAATATTTTAAAAAATACGAGTCGGTCATATTCACCCTACTTTAAAACCTTGTCTTCCCCAGAGGTATATGACAATGTCCCGGGAAATCCGACTCCAGCTCTGTTCAAGGTCATCCAGCTGTGTAAACAATGACTCATCGGTGTTAAATTTCACAGAAAGGCGAGACAAAGGAAAATAAAGTTTGAAACTTTTTCTTCAAAATTAACGCATTTCTTTCGTTTTTTTCAGTTTTAAATATTTTTTATGTATTTTTTATGCTTGATTACATCATAATTAAAGAGAATAAGTAAAGGGTCATCGAAAAGAACAGAAGTTTGTAGAGTGTAGTGAAAATTTATAGAATGTTTGTTGAGTATTTCTACGCAGAATGAACTACTTTACGATTAGAAATCGGCGAATTGAGAAGTGAAGTAATAACTTACCAATATTGTGAAGAATTTGTTGCATTATTAAACTTTTGAATGAAGAAATTGAAATTTTCCCTATAAAAATATGTATCCAATCAAAATTTTGTATCTATACGTAAAATATATATGACTACTTCGTATCTCGTTGGATTTAATCCTTACATGAAGATTAAATATCATGTCAGGTATGCATGATATTTAATCTTCAGATTGTTATTTAAAAAATCTATTTTAAATTGCTTTCGGAAACGAAAAAAGGTTCATATTTACTTAATATTATGCTTGCTGAAAACTGTTTATTTAGCCAGCACAAATACAAATGTTTGCAAACCATACCAGTGACGCAATCGTAATGTAATTTTGGGGGAGCCGAATTAAACGGATGAAAAACTTTTAATGAAAATTCAACTTAATATGACCGCTAATTGATAAGTAGTATAGAAATAGAAAACATGGCACAATGTAAATGAAAAAAATAAATTTTAATTAAAAATTGAATTATGACTACTGTATTTACAAAAAATTTATTAATTTTTCGGGTCTATCTTTCATCCTTTTAACACACCACGGAAGTAACAGTACATTGGCTTGGATGAACTTCTACAGAACATGTGATAAATTATAACGAAAAACACACAAAGTTAAAAATGATCGAAATTTTTGTAAATAGTCATAATTCAATTTTTAATTAAAGATATCCTGGGTTGTTCATGTTGTGAATTTTAATTAAAAAAATTCTTCTCAAATGGGGGTTAAATCCTTCAAACCCTTCGTGTGCACAGATTTATTTCCAAACTTTGACGGATATCTGAAGAAGTAAAAGGGTCAGTCTATCTCTTTGGGAGATCTGAAATCAAATCTGAGAGCAACGCCATGAATTTCTCGTGGGCGGTCTTTCCAAGATATGTCGGTTTCCGTTCCTCAGCTATTGTGACCCTTGCTAAATGCATAATAGATACGAGGAAAGGCCCTTTTAGTGCCTACAGGACAAAGAGCAAAAAATGAAAAAACACGGGTTTATATATCGTGTGAATTTTTAAAAAAACGTTTTTTTATACAAAAACCGTATTACTTGATATTGAAATAAATAAGTGTTCTATAATCTATCTTTTTTACCTACTCTAATAAATAATAATAATAATAATATCAATAAAATTTCATATGATAGTAAATTAAAACAAGCAAGCGTTGTTGCCAACCAAATTTGAAAGGATTGGCAACACTTTATCGTCGTAGCAGTAATTTGTTATTGTAAAGATTGAGTTTTGGATTAAAGGAGAAAATGGACTCTTCGATGGCTCAGAAAACATGGGAACTATTCAATAATATTGATTCTGTTCAAAGTATAGACGATGTTTATAAATATAACAGAAAACAACAACAAGACATCCTAACTGCTAAACCGTGGGAAAAAGAGTGAGTGAATGTTCACAGAGTTTTAAATTGTTACTTATAAAGTTACTGATATTTTAAACTTTTATTACGCAGCCCACATTATTTTAAGGACATAAAGATATCCGCATTAGCTCTTTTGAAAATGGTAATGCATGCCAGATCAGGTGGAACATTGGAAGTGATGGGTCTTCTACTTGGTAAAGTAGATGCTAATACTATGATTGTTATGGATTCATTTGCATTGCCTGTTGAGGGAACTGAAACTAGAGTTAATGCCCAAGCTCAGGCTTATGAATATATGGCAGCATATACTGAAACTGCTAAACAGGTAATTTTTGTTTTAATTACTCTAATTATTTCATTCTTAGATATTTACATTCAATTTAAAATATACGTACTGTGGATGTCACACACACAATTGTTCTAACTCAAGCGAAAATTTACACCAAAGGCATTAAGCAGTATTTTAAGGAAAACCAGGTGTCTCGATGGGTTCGCCACTGTCCGCTATATTAGCGGAATTGGTTATGAGACGTGGAGCACAGGGTCTTTAGTTTCCCCTTCGCAATAGCTTACTTGTTGATAGATGACATTCTTTTGGCATGGCAGGACACGGATGACTCTTTACTGGCATTAGAACAATGCCTTGCCAGTGTATACTCATCCATCAGTTTCACCTGGGGAAAACAAAATGGGGGAAAAATAGCCTTTTTAGACCTGCATATCTCCAAATCCCAGGGAAATTTGGAGTTCTCAGTCTTCCACAAGTTTGGTAATATTCCCCCCATAATACCCGCCACGGCCTACCAGCCACAACAGTAAGTTAATGCGGCCATAGCCCCCTTAATCAGAAGGGCCCTTTTTTTAGTACCTTCCACACAACATCTTATCAACACCAAGCTAGAGGCCATCCGCATGGCATTATGTGTGGCAGGATATGGTCTTGCCAAATACAACCGTATCCAAAACAGAGTTAAACAGTCCCTCTTCTTTGCCACTACTTTGTACAGGCCAAGGGACTGGATAGGACTCTGTCCTTCCCTCCTATTTTGTGGCTGCCTCACAGCCCAGATTTGCCGGATATTTAGGCAAAATGCCTTTCTCTTACCCACGCCCAAGTCTGAAAAGACTCTTATGTAATGACAGGGATGCTTCCATCCTGGAAAAATCAGGTGTGTATTACATTCCTTTGCAAAACCCAATATCAAAGCTATACACCCACAACCACCAGAATGCTGGCCAACCACCTATCTGAACACCAACATTCTGTCGAGATGGAGAATTGTGATACCGAACTATCCAAATTGGTGGTGCAGCACCACTACACACCGCTTTGGAACCAGATGGCAATACTCAGGTGTTGTGAAGAAGGGGACTTGGTGTACATTTGGGAGGTCCTACTCACCATGCTGCTGTCTCCTTGCAATTCCCTCACCCTCGAAATTGCCTGAAGTTTGGATTAGTTTGTACAAACGTTTAAAAATACATCAGCATTAGTTCTGCATCTACCACCCACCTTCACTGTGATTTAAGGCACATGCACATTTATGTTATGCCTGTTTCAAGTTAATGTTTAATTTTACTTTTTCTTATGGTTGTTGTTCCAAACGACTAATGTGTTAAGGTGCATGCACAATGTTATGCGTTTCAAATTAATATTTAAATTTACTTATTCTTAATGTTATGATATGTTCTAAACGGCTAATGCCATTATTGCTTAAATTTAAACCCATTCAAAATCTGATTTTAATTACTGCCTGAGGACAACGAAAGCACTAGCCAGAAATAAAACATTCCTTAAAACACTCCTTAACGCCTTTGGTGACAATTTAAAATATTGCACATTTTTAAAGAATTTGATATTAGAGGGAGGGTCCAAATTACAATGTGTACAATTACATTCACCACTGTACCAATGTGGTGGTAGCCACTAGCGTTGTGGATCAAGGGTAAACTGTTAGATAATGTATAAGTGGGTTTGTTACATTGGTACTATCAGGTCAGTCCATAAGTTTATGCATATTTTTATCTACAAAAAAAGCAACAAAAAATTTTAATTAAATCTTATTTCAATCTATAATGTATTCACCATTATTTTGTACAATTTCTTGCCATCTTGATGGTAGCTTTTTAATCCCGTCTTTGTAAAATGATTTTGGTTTTGAATCAAAATATTCAGAAATAGCCTTTTTTACATTGTTATCATCCTCAAAAGTTTTCCCTTTTTAAAAATTCTGCAAACTCCGAAAAAGATGATAATCACTGGGAGCAATATCTGGCAAATATGGTGGATGAGGTAAAATTTCCCAGTTGAAGCTTTTGAGTTTCTCTACAGTTATTTTTGCAGCATATGATCTGGCATTGTCATGTTGCAAGAGAACCTGCTTTCTGTTCACTAATGACGGTCGATTTTTTTTCATTTAAATGCTCTAATTGATCACAATACATTTTAGCTGTAATTGTTTGATTAGGTTCTAACAGCTCAAAGTGAATTACATTAACATATCCCACCAAACAGACAAAAGAATTTTTTTTGGATGCAACCCACCTTTTGCAGCCAGTTTTGGCTGCTCGTCGCGATCTGTCCATTGTCTTTTTCTTGTCACATTATTATAGAGGATCCATTTTTTGTCTCCAGTAACCAGCCGATCAAGAAAAGATTCCAAAGTAATGCGGGATAAAAGAAACGTGCAAATGTTTACATGTTGTTGTCGGTTAGCTATTGACAGTTCATGTGGTATCCATTTTCCTAGCTTTGAAACTTTTCCGATTTGTTGTAGATGTCTATGAACAGTTCCATGGAATGAATTTAAACGTTCCGCAATTTCATCAACTGTTAAAGATGGTTCTGCTTCAACTAGTGCAGAGAGAGCATCATCATCAAAGTCAATGGGTCTTCCAGTACGAGCCTTATCCTCCACACTAAAATCATTATTTCTAAATCTTTCAAACCACTTCTGCGCAGTCCTTACACTAATTACAGTTTGATTATGAACAGTATTTAATTTTTTGGCTGCATTTGTAGCATTCTCATCACTTAAAAATAAAAAGTATAAAACATGTCTCTTATATTCATCTGTTACTTCCATTTTAATGAAAATAAACAACTGAAATGTTCCCAATTCTGAACAGTATTATATGAATGAGATCCAATTTAACACTTCAGTGTAAAAAGTATCACATTAGACTGGCATTTTTAACAGCAAAACAAGATTTTTCTCAAGGTCATAAAATACTCAGGAACTTATGGACTGACCTGATATTTGGTTAACGGAAAGCCAGAAGATTAACCAAATAGTATTTGATAGACTATTGCATTTAACAATTTAGCTCAAGTGACTGTGCCAGCTTATAGCTTACTTGACTGTTTGTGGAGTACAGTAATACCCTGAACTTACGCGATAGGTGGGACCGAGCGGTAACCGCGTAAGTCGAATTCGCATAAGCCGGGGTATAATTTCGCATATAAATACAAATAATTTTTAATTGGGGCCGGAGACTAAAGAAAACAATAATTTAGAAAAAAATGTTTAATAAAATCTTAGATAATACATATGTATAACAAATTCGGCCTGTATTGTTTTACAATTTTTCCCATTTATTGATTATTACGCCATAATTTTAACATTGTTTTCATTTCAGCGATAATACTGTGACGTTTACGAATGATGTCTGAATTTAAAGATTGAATATTTTTCACAGCTTCGAGAGTTTTTTCTTTGCCTTTTATAATTGTTCTGACCGACAATTCCAGTAGATGAAACTTCTTTGCCAATTCACAAATTTTCATTTTTGTATCAAAGTCTTTAATAATGGGTACGTTCGTAAAGTCAAACAAGTTAAACGCGTTAGTAACGAATTGTTCGAAAAGTCTAACGAAATAGGAATAACGAGGACTTCATTCTCGTTTAACTCTTTCGACTTTACGAACGTACCCAATGTTAACTTTACATTCCAAAGATAAAGTTTTTCTTTTCTTGTTTGATGCGGAAGAATTAGTTCTACTTTGTTTGGATGACATAGTAGAGTCTCTCGAGTCTCCATAGATATAACAAACACAGAAATAAATAACACAAAATAAATTGTAGCTATGTGTGGATTTCGCGCGACACATACGAACATGTAAGCTGAACAATAGTGTGGGAGGAGTGAGTAATCAAGGGTTGCGTGCGCTCAAACAGAAGCGAATCGACGAGATTCGAAAATCGCGTAACTCCGGGTTTGCGCAAGTCGGGGTATTACTGTATTTGATATTGTATAGTTTTAGGAGTGTGGGCTCACTTCCACTCGGTTGCTGAAGTGTGAGTGATAGTGAGCACTGTCATGCATCTACATGTGAAGTGTATAGAATAGGAGGTAGACTGATATGTGTTAAAAACTGACCTTCAGAGATGAATATCATGCAAACAAAGGGTCAACAATTCTAAGGTGGTATGATACTTTTCATTCAGAGTTTGAATCTTACCCATTGCTGTACATATTGACTGGCATTCCATTGACCAAAAAAATAGTTACATTCAAATATTTTACTTGCGCTTCATTTTTTCTTATATATATATATATTTAGCCTTAGAATAAATAGGGTTGGCATCAGGAAGGGCATCTGGCCATAAAACCTATGCCAAAACTACTTGGAAGTAAGTTATAACTGTGTTAGGACATCCCCTGAAGTGATGCACAGTCATGTCACCTGAAAACTATGTCAAAGAGAAGAGGAAGAAGAAAGGCATAAGAAGAGGTACTTTAAACATCAGAACATTGAATGGGAAGAGTAAAGAGTTGGTGGATCTTATGCAAAGAAGGAGAGTGAACATTTTGTGCCTGCTAGAGACGAGATGGAAAGGAAATAAAGTTAAAGAACTTGGTGAAGGGTACAAGCTGTTCGTGAGTGGAGCAAATAAGGGAGGAAGGGATGGAATTGGTATCATAATTGATAAAGTTCTAAAAGAGTCTGTGAGGTTAAACAAAGGTGTGATAGAATTATGAGCATTAAGTTGGATGTTGGTGGACTTTTCATTATGATTGTGTGTGTGTATGCTCCTCAGCCAAGTAGCGGAAAATAAGAAAAGATAAACTTCCAGACAGATCTTGACCAAGTTATAATGGGTGTTGCTGGGAGGTGGAGTGTGGGAGAAAGACTAGTCGATCATGCTGTGGCTTTTGACCTTGCACTAGTTAACACCTACTTTGAAAAGAAAGCAAACCAACTGTTTACATACATGAGTGGAGGTAGATCCAGCCAGATTGATTTTTTCTTGTGCCACAGGAGGCATCTGAGAGAAGTAAGAAACAGTAAGGTGTTCATTAAATGGAGAAAGTGTTGCTGCA